GGGCCGGGAGGTGGGAGGAGGAGGAACACTGAAGCTTTTGGAGCTGTTCCTCCAGGGGGGTGGCTCTGGGTGATGGGTTGGTTGTCCCTGGCAGGTCGGTGCTGCCATCTCCATGACCTACATCACGAGCAAACCCATCGTCTTCGTGGGGACCGGTCAGACCTACTGTGACCTTCGAAGCCTCAACGCCAAGGCCGTGGTCGCAGCTCTCATGAAGGCCTAAAAAAACCCCCCCAAAAAAAAACCAAACCCCCACAGCTGGCCCAGGAGAACCTGCTCCATCCCCTTCCCCACGTGGTCTCCTCCCAACAACGAAGACGTTGAAGGGATTTTTTTGGGGGGAGGGGGAGATAAATCCCAATTTTTCTCCTTTCTCTTGGGGCCCTTCCTTGCGGAGAAGATTTTCTGGGGGGGTTGGGGGTTTTTTTGTTGTTGTTTTGAGCTGCTTTTGATTTTGTTAGACCAGCTTTAGGGAGTGATTTCTCCCAAGATGGCCGCCGCTGGGAGAAGATCTCGTTGAGCTCCATCAAAGCTGATAAACCAAAAAAATAATCAATTAAGGGAGATGCTAAATTGCCTTAAGGTCCCAAAATCGTGTCGGCGTTGGAATCCCGGAGCAGTTTTGGGGGTAGGATATGGATCCTGGAAAGGGGATTTGGGTCTGCCAGCTTGGTTGGGAAGAGTTTCCAGCCAGCAGCAGGGAGCTCCTCGGGTGGCTCGTGGCTCTTGTGTTGCAGATGTTGCTCTAGTGCAATAAATCGACCGCTGTCTGCTGAGAGAGAGGATTTATAGCTGAGAAATAAACCTTCAGGATTTGTTCTCTGCCTGTGGGTCACTCGCTGCCAGGCAGGAGCTGGTGACTCCTAGGAGGGGGGTTGGAAGTCACCCTGAGCAGCCACAATGGAAAGGTCTCAATTTTGAGATAGAAAATGGTGGAAGGAGGACTAAAAAAGAGCTTTGAGTTAAAAAAAGAGAAAAAACAACCCAAAAAACTTCAATTTTCAAGATTTTAATTGAAAAGAGGGGATATAAAAGAGCTCGGTGTGAAATTAGAGGTTCCCCAAGGGGAGAGCTTGTTAAGAACACGATGATGATGTTCAACCATCAGAGCAGCCTCCAGCTCCTGCCCCTCCAAACCAGCACAAGAGGGGTGGGGCCTGGCCCAGGGTGTCCCCCCCCCATCCTGGGGTGAAGGGGAAGCTCAGGAGCTGCACCCTGTGGAGGAGCAAAGGGCCCTGGGAGATGCTGGTGGCCTCCCCGGGGCACGAGGCCACCCCTGCCTTGGGACAACCTTACCTCTGGTCTCAGCACCCTGCAGCTCCTGAGCCAGGCTGGGCACACCTAGGAGAGGGTGGAGGGGTCATGGTTGGACGTGGGGGGAGCAGCTCTTGGACCTGTAAGAACAGGGGAGGGGTGGGGAGGGTTGGGCTCTTCTCCCAAAGGACAGGACAAGAGGAAATGGCCTCAAGTTGGCCCAGGAGAGGTTGAGGTTGGAGTTGAGGAACAATTTCTTCCCCATAAGGGTTGTCCAGGTCAAGGGTGGGGTCTCCAAGCCATGGAGATGTTCTGAGAGACACGGGTTGGTGGTGCTGGGTCAATGGTTGGACTCCATGACCTTCAAGGTCTCTTCCAACCAGACCAACTCTACAATTCCATGACTCCAAGGGAAGTGTGGACCCTGGTGTACCCCAGCAGCCACCCCACCCACCCCCTGACCTCCATACCTGCCCCACCCCTGGTGGCAATCTCCCTGGTCAGCCTCTGGAAGTACTCGGGCAGGTCGGCGTGGTCCTCCCCGTAGGAGATGACCTTGATCCCCTTGTCCAGCATGTTCTCCCGGAGCTTCTGGAACTCATCCACATCTCCCCTCCTCACCAGCATGAAGTGCTCCAGGTCAGATTTGTGTTTGACAGCCTCCAGGAACAGGGCCTGGAAGGTGGTGTCATCCACAGTCCAACCACAGCCCAGGAAGAGGAAGGATTTGGTTTCGTAGAGCTTCTGGATCTCTCGCTGGGAAAGGGTGAAGATGGGTCTTGGTCAAGGCTCTGGAGATGGGGTGGGACTCTGAGGACAGGCTGAGAGCCCTGGGGAGGAGAAACCTCAGAGGGGATCTGATCAGTGCTGAGCAGGAGCTAAAGGTGGGGGACACAGAGGTGGCTCCAGACTCTTGTAGAGGTGCCCAGTGACAGGACAAAGGAGCCAAACTGGACCCAAACTGGAACCCAGGAGGTGCCACCTGAGCAGCAGGAGGAGCTGGTTTGGGGTGAGGGTGCAGAGCCTGGAGCAGCTGCCCAGAGAGGTTGTGGAGTCTCCTCTGGAGAGATCCCAAACCCACCTGGCTGTGACCTTGGGTGAGCTGCTGGAGCAGAGGGGTTGGAGGAGATGATCTCCAGGGACTCATCTCCTCACCATGAAGACACTGAGGTGTCTCTGCAGAACCCACCCCTGCTCCTCTGCCCCACAGGCTGTCCCAGCAGCCCCTGGGGAGCCTGTTCCCCAGCTCACCATCACCTCGGTGCTGCGCAGCACGCTCTGGTAGCCAGCTGGGTGGAGGACGATGCCACTGGGGTTGGTGTAGACCCCATGGATGTGCAGGACACTGAGATTCCTCTTCTCCTGCGCCCACTCCAGCACCTGAGAGGAGCAAAACCCTCCAGAGATGTCAGGGAGGGTGTCACAGCACCTTAAAAATGTCCCAAACATCCTTCTGGGGAAGTGTTTCAAAGAGGCAGCTCCTCATCTCATCACCATGAGGCCACCAGCCTCTAGGTGGTGGCTCGTGGGGCTGGAGAAGCATCCCCTGGTGCTTCTTTGGGTCAATGAAGATCTGGGGAAGAGTCCAGATCACTGGACTCAGCAGAAAATCAAGGGTAAAATTCTATAACCACCAGGTCAACGTGTCTCTGAAGCCCACCAAGTTTGTCCCCTGGTCCTTCTGAGAAGCTCTGAGGGAGTTCAAGGGGTGACCTTCACTTGGGAAGGCCACTGGGTTCACTCCTGCAGACCTGGGCTTGTTTAAGCTTGTGTTAATTGGAAGGCTTAATTGTAACACACTAACTCCTTCCAGCCATGGAGATGAAGAGGTCACCCAGGAACCTCTGGAAGAGATCAAGCCCTGCAGAGCAGCTCCAAGAGAAGGACAAGATGCTCCCCAGCAGTGGTGGGAAGAGGAGGTGGGCACACAGCCTGATCTGCCTGAGCAGGGCAGGAGCAGGGAGGCCTGGGACCCAAAAACATGGCAGAAGAAGCTGGAGGACTTCTGAAGTTGCCACCCAGCCATGTCAGAGAGAGGACTCGGGGCCAGGAGGAGACCTTGAAGAGTTTGAAAATGTTCTCTCATGAAAAGCCCTCTAAAAACCACTGCCCCGTGTCCCTCACCCCACATCTCCAGGGCTTGGGAACCCCTCCAGGGGTGGGGACTCCACCACTGCCCTGGGCAACCCTTCAACCCTTGCAGGGAAGAAATTGCTCCTCAGGTCCAACCTCAACCTCCCCTGGGGCAACTTGAGGCTGTTCCCTCTTGTCCTCTCACTTGATCTTGGGAGCAGAGCCTGACTTGGCTCCAGGCTCCTGTCAGGAGCTGTGCAGAGCCAGAAGGTCTCCCCTGAGCCTCCTTTGCTCCAGGCTCAGCACCCCCAGCTCCCTCAGCTGCTCCCCACAACTTCTCCAGACCCTTCCCCACCTTTGTTGCCCTTCTCTGGCCAAACTCCAGCCCCTCAAGGTCCTTCTGGGAGTGAGGGACCCAAAACTGAGCCCAGGATTCAAGTGTCAACTCCAGGGGGACAACCCCTGCCCTGCTCCTGCTGGCCACACCAGTGCTGACCCAAGCCAGCTTGCTGGTGACCTTCTTGGCCACCTGGTCCCACGTTGGCTCATCTTCATCTCACCAACACCCTCAGGGTCTTTCCCTGGGGCACTTTCCAGCCCCTCTGCCCCAGCCTGGAGCATCCCAGGGGACTGTGGTGACCCAAGAGCAGCACCCGTGGTGACCATGAGGCCGTGGTGACCATGAGGCCGTGTTGACCCTCACCCTCCTGAAGCCCACCCCACAGCTGTCCCACCTCAGCCCCGACCACTCCAAACCATCATCCTTTACCTTCTTCTCATCAGTCAGGTCAAGAGACTCCAGGTGCTTCCCTTGGTGAGCTGCGTAGAGCTCCAGGAGGTTGTCAAAGTTGGTGGTCAAGACCAGTGCCCCGTTCTCCATCAGGTGAAGCACCGACTGCAGCAGCTGCTTCCCAGAATCTTCCATCTTGGGTTCCAGGTCATCAAACACTTCATACAAACAGTCTTTGAAAAAGGTGGAGCGAGCGTTGCTCGTGCGCTGAGGAGACAGCTCCAGGTCAGGGTTGGGGTCCTTCCAACCCTTCCCCCCAAACACCTCCACGGAGAGCCACCCACACCTCCCTCAAAGATCTCCCCAAAGCTCCTCCCCGTGTCAAACGGCCCAAAAGTTGGTGTCCGTGAGGTTCACACCTCAGGATCTTGGCACAACGGCTGCACTCGTGGTTCCTGGGAGACCAGAGGAACCCTTGGAGATGGAGGGAACACCACAGGACCTCGTTTGGCCATTTCCAAAGGCCAAATCCTGCCCCCAGGGGTGGGGTGCTGGGCGTTCACCTCCCAGCACGCTCACCGGAGACAACTTCTGGATCAGGTCATGGGCGAGGTGAACCAAGTTCTTGTTTTCTTGAAGGCACTTTTGAAACCTTTTGCTCTCTTCTTCTTCCAGGAGATCAAAGTCCATGGCAGCGTCCAGGAGGGCCTGGATTAACCCTTTCCAGGACTTGAGGGCGGGCACCTGGGGAGCGACGGCCGCGCTGACCCCCGTCCCGATCACCAGGACGAGTTCTCCAGGCTTCTTGGTTTTCAGGCTTGGCAAGAGCTTCCTGGGAGAGGAGGAAGGAGCAGAGGTGGCACCGTCGTAGGTGGAAGGTTGTCTCAGGGTGTGGGGTGTGGAAGAGTCCCCAGGAGCTGTATAGATAGGTCTGGGCTCACGTTGGAGCCCACCACGAGGTGCTCATCCAGCTCTACCCAGGAGAGACCAGGGGTCTTCCTGGAGCACCCAAGGTGGTTGGTGGGGCTGGTTCTTCATAGGGGATGGAAAACAAAGGTCCTAGGAGAAGAAAGCCACTGGAGGGGAGTTTTTACCTGGGCTTCTTTGCTGGTGGGACTCCATCTTCCAGCAGCGTTGCTTTGCCCAGGCTCACTGTTGAAGCCATCCAGTGTCTACAGGAGACAAACCACAGGATCATGGAAAGATCTCCAAGATCATCAAGTCCAACCATCAACCCAACGCTACCACCAGCACTAAAACACAGCCCCAAGTGCTACATCTACGTGGTTCTTGAAGCTCTCCAGGGGTGGGGACTCCAGCACCTCCCTGGGCAGCCTGGGCCAACGTCTCACCACTCTGGAAGTGAAGAAACTCTTCCTAAATCCAACCTAAACTTCCTGGTGCAGCTTCAGCCCCGTGCCTCTCATCCTATCGCCGGTTCCTTGGGAGAAGAGCCCAACCCCCACCTCACTCCAACCCCTCAGCCTCCTCTTCTCCAGGCTCAACACCCCCATCTGCTCCTCATAAAACACGTTCCTCAGACCCCTCCCCAGCTTCGTTGCCCTTCTCTGGACCCACTCCAGCCCCTCGAGTTCTTCCTTCTCCTGTGGCACCCCAAAACGGACCCCAGCCCTCAAGCTGTGGCCTCCCCAGGGCCGTGTCCAGGGGTTTGTTATCTTTACGACGTCGCCTTCGGGCTGAGAATTGCACTTTTTGGCCTCTGAACTTTGCCCAGCAGCTCTCATCCACCTCCTCAACCTCCTGGAGATCCCAAGAGAAGCTGTTTTTGTACAAAACTGGGTCGTCCTCGCCACTCTTCGGAGGCTCCCAAAACCCACCCAGAGCATTTTATGACCTTCGAGCCCGTGGGGAGCAAGTTACACATCTCAGAACTCTGCTCCTCCAGATTATTTGGGAGAAAACGATTATTAATTATCAAAAAGGCAAAAAAATAGTAGATTTGTTCACCCTGCTCTGTTTTTTCCTTGCCAAGCCCAGCAAAAAATTCCATTTGGCAGGTTTTTGCCAAAAGGAAACTTTGTTCAAGGGCTCCCGGCCCAAAAACCACCTTTTATTTCCACTAAAAAAGGCATTTTGAGCTCAGGAAAAGCCACTTTTTAAAAGTCAAGTTACCAAGTGATGGTTCTTCAACACTCTGAACTTCAATTTTCATTTCTAGTTTAATGAGGCGAGCCAAAAAAGAAAGGAAAATCAGAAATACCATTTAGTCTTTTCCCATCTTCCACTTTTCTCTTAAAAATGTTGGAAATTTTCCATATATTTAGAATATGGGATGTCAGACAATTATTTTTAGCTTCTCTGAGTGCTGAGAAGTATCAAGAGTGAGGGTGTAATTCAGATCTTTTAAAACGAAGTCACTTTGAGGTGTTGGGATGAGGCAAATGTTCATAAAATGGTTTCTTAGGGTTAGACCTGGTTTTAAAGGTTATTTCCAACCTAAATGTTGCTAAAACCTGCTACTTTTTGGCCAGGAGGAGCTGAAAGGATGTTCATGAGGCGTCCTGGCTGGTTTCCTATGGGGAGTCACAACTGGAGCAGCCCCAAAGTTCCTTAAAATAATCCTTAAAAGGGTCAGGCTTTAGTGGCAAGGAGGAAAACACACGTTAGGATGCAAGGAACACAAAATTCACCCTCCTCGGATGCGAGTGAAGACACAAGAGAGGCTTTTATTTAACTCTGTCATTCTCCACAGGCCTCAGGCTCTCAGGAAAACCTGGAAAAGGTGCCACAACCCCACCAGCCTCACGCTGGCTCATCCCAGAGGATTTTTGGGAAGCAAACCGAGCCG